TATAAAAATATAGCATACTTTACAAATATTATTTAGTAAATATATATATATTATTCAAATTGATAAGTTCAATAGTTCTTTAAAAAATTCCCAAAAATTGCCTGATTATATAGCCGTCACACTAGCATAGCCCCTTAAATTTTCGTCCATGTCGCAATTTGTACACGGCCCGTCCCACTGTAAGGTGGTCCGAGGGTCGATCAGGGGATCGAAAAAAAAAAAACCAAACCGTTAATCTCTTACGTGAGCTCGAGGCTCGAAAAGCTACTCGCACATTCCATCCGAGTGAAAACGACACCGCTTACGAAATCGCAGCAGCCGGCAAAGGGTCAAAGAAAAGCCGACCTGGTCGGAATCGTTCGCATTGTGCCAGGACAGGTAGCCGAGCGCGCCGTGGGGGACCTCAACACGCACGCATAACCTGGTGGTGGGCGAAACATTTCGGATCAAGTGGAATGCACGTCGTGGCAGCGTTCAGTCGAGCCTCGGCCTCTCACCGCGACGCATCTTGCCTCCCCCTTTAATATACCGACCGAAATCAGCTCCCATCGTGCGATCGCGATCTGAACGAAGAGTTTCCGAGCGTAACGGAAATTGTCGTGCACGAGATCAGTGATCGGTACGCGTGATGTGAGACTGTTTAGGTGGATCGTGTGCTCGCTAGGACCACGTGGGGAACTGTGCATCCACCATTTAAATTGGGCAACCATGAGAGACCGATCGAGGGCGACGTGAGGCCGTGACATGAAAGACAGACTTCGAAAATGTGAGTGATGTCAGTGTGTATACTGTAAAAAATACGGTGGTTCTCTGATTCCTAACAGTTTCTGACGGTGAACCATTGATATAGGGACCAGGAACGAACGTAACGGTTTTTCAGTCTGTAGATTTGAAATTTTGTACATTTTTTAAGAAATTTGTGGAAAATGAGGAATCGTGATTATTTGACAATATAATCGAACCTAAGAATTTGGAATATATTACACTAGATTTTTTAACCCTTTCAGACCTGAATTTTTTTTTAAGAATCAGAAAAATTTTTGATTACACAGTAGACTGTTCAGATATTTTATTTAGACAAATGTTTGTGTCCTATTATTTTTTTCTTATGTTATTCAAGTCTGAATGTACTACATATACTAAAAATACTCAGAACATGAAAAAATGAAAATTTACACTGTACCCAAGGCTTTGTGTGAAATTGTACGAAAGTTTTTGTACACAAATGTGACCACCAGGTCTGAAAAGGTTAAATAAGAGTCATTTGTTACTTTTGTCCCTACTCTTAGGGACGGTTGTAACACCGTATCTAATTAGATTAAAACAGAAAAAATAATTAATAGAAAAGGTACTTTTAAACGATATTTTTGTTTATTTTATAAATAGACATAAACGTAAATATAAGCATAATATAACAGCAAAAATTGCAAAGGATTTTACGTAATTGAAACGAAAAGATACATAAATTGAAAGTTACACATAACCTTACGTTTATTATAACAATTGTTATAAAATGAAATATGTTCAAAGTCTCCCCTACTATACGCATTCACTTGGCTTACAGTAGCAAACATTGCACTTTTTATCGTATTTACCGTGCAATATTATCTATATTTGTCCAGTACTCTTAAACAAGTCTATTTAGAAAATTATTAATGTCCCCGTTGATTTGTTCGTTGGAACAATGATTTTATGTTTATACTTCCGTGACTGTAGGTCAAGCTGAAAAGGCCTTAGCAGTGAGATTCTAGACGTGATAACCAAATAGTAATTACCTGGACAGGTTTATAACCATCCAGGAATTTCGAGAATGTTTTGTTGATAGTGGTTCGTACTCTACCTAACTTGGGTAAGGTTAGGACCCAGGCCTGCCCCTGAAATTAGTCTGATACTTATTTCTATTGACATCATTAACAGTACAGAGTATGAAAACCCTCTTATCTTTTGAAAATAGTTATTAACCTCTTAACTGTGAATGACGTGTATTCTCGTCATGGCAAATTGTTCTATAATGACGAGTATACTCGTCACGTGAGAAAAGTAATTACCATTTGTTATTTACATTAAAATTTTTGTGAAAACAAACATATTTGTAAATTTTAAACATTTTAGAATATTTCGAGACCACTTGACTAAACCAGTTCTTTTTATTTTATATTAAATAATATAAATAAATATAAATTTAATAAATTACAATGATTTTAAAAAACGTGGGCTATTTCCTTATAATTTAATTTAATACACTAATTTGCCATAAGTGACTTGGTACTTTATGTAGGGAATAACGAGTGGCATCAACTAGTGCATTAAAAAATACACGATTCCATTTAAAGAAAACAAAGTTGACCTTCATATGACCACCACGCATAGAAAGAAGGTACATCGGAAAGTGTGGCCCCTGATACCATTTAACTTTTGTCTGAAACATTTTTTAATACGGTCAATATTTAATAAACTTTAATTTAAAAAATGTAATTGATTAATTCGTCTAAATTTTATTTTATAATTTAAATTGTATATATTTTAAACAAAAATAGATCTGGTAAAGTTTATTCTAAATATTCGGAGATATTCGAGTGGATCGATTGAAATGGGACACCCTGTAGATACATTAATCATTTAATCCCGTCTGTAAATTTAGATTTTGATTAGTCATCAATATCGATGATACCGTTCAGGATCAAGAAGAAGGGAAACGCTTATGGAACAAGTATTCTTAATGCTGTCAGTGTCAGGGACAATCTCGGGAGTAATTGCTGCTGATGGAGGCTACGACGGGCACGTTCAGTACCGTTAAAGTCGTGGCGATGTGGACAGACGCAATTGACTTATTGTGTAATCGAACGGAAAACCGTAACGGTATTATAAGAAGCGAAAAATCTCTATTACAATTTCAGTTCGTACCGTAACATTCGCAACACTCCACCTTACGTCATCCGATTTCGTTATTTATCTAAACATTTCGCTCTAAATCTTATATTTCCTTTATGCAATAGTTCTCCAATTAAATCTGAATATGTATACTAAACAAAAGGCATTGTCTCGAGTTTCCTGATTTAAACAAAAGGACTCCTATGATCCTATCAGCAATGACGACTTTTGTTTGTTTAGGATGTACATATATATATGAAAACTATTGATTCGAAAGATGGAAGTGCTGTTTACGATAGATTGTGAAATATTGCGTTTCCGCGCGTCAAACTAATTGCCCTGATGGCCTGATGATATTTTATTGTTGAATCGAGAGAGAATATTCAACAAGAACAAAAAGAAAATGATGAACGAATCGAGTGACTGTGCACTCGGATCACGATCGAACATTTTCCATTCGCTATCAATCGTAATTCCGATTCGAGACACGCGTAAATGTTCAGGAGCCTCTTTAAATGGCGGCGTGACACGCCAGTGTCGAATTTTCTGGTGAGATTGGCCAACAGGAAACTCACTTTCGAAGAACACAATTTCGAACGATAGACGTCGATATGTACTATACCCAATAAATGGATAAAATGCTGGTTTCTGTAACACTTCCTCTTCCTATCGCGGCCAATTCCATTAATTTAACCGTGTGCCAATCGCCAATCTTATGATTTAATGTATCTTTTACCAATAAATAATCCATTAATGTTTACCAGGCTTAAGTTTCTCTTTGAGAGACCTTACGTTATTTATATTTACAGTGGTTATTTAACGTTCTTGGGGCGATTCTGTTTTTGCCAATAGCCTAACCCAGTGATCATTGCTGCTAATAGCATAACACAAACCTTATTGCTACAAATAACCTAAAACAGACCTCGCTCCTACCAATAACATAACCTAGAACTTATTCCTATCAAGAATCTAATCCACACCTTATTGCTACAAATAACCTAACCCAGGCCTTATTGCTGTCATTCACTTAACCTAGATCAAAGGCCAAAACCAGACCTTATTGCTACCAATAATAATCCAACACATACTTTATTGCTACCAATAATTTCACCCAGGCCTTATTGCTACCAACAATAATCCAACACACACTTTATTACTACCAATAGTTTAACCCAAACCTTATTGCTACCAATAGCTTAGCACAGGCTTTATTGCTACCAATAATTTAACCCAGACCTTATTGCTACCAATAACAATCCATCATATACTTTATTGCTACCAATAATTTAATCCAGACCTTATTGATACCAATAATAATCCAACACATACTTTATTACTACCAATTTTTTTTTTTTTTTTTTTTTTACGTGAGGATAGGGTACATCACATCTACATCGTACATCTACATCGTAAAGATTTTACGATGAAGATTTTCGAAGTATACTCGCGTGTGGCGAAGCAAAAGCAGCAGTTCTGTAGCCGTAGTTAGAGGCAAGTGCGCGAAAACTTTCTCCGGAGACAAGCCTCTATCTATGTACGTAGGCGGGCACACGCAGGCTTCTCTGTCGACCAAACGGTTTTAGACTCATCGTGCTGCGGCCACTTGTAATCGTTGTTCGGTTCCACGGCGTTATTAGGTCCGTATGGTTCACGGGATTTCGCAAGTTCGAGGTCGTTCATGGTCCCACGGTCACACGCTATGCATTTCCTTGAACCTTTCGTGATTGCAGTCACGGATAGACCTAACCTCTTAAGACATAATGACTTGCATGTGTACGTTTAGCTTCTCTTTGATCCAAGCATCATTCCGGAATTGTAATTAAATATTCATTAAGAAATTACCCAACAAAAAAAGATATTCTACCAATTGATTTTCATGAATATTTATAAGTATCCTAAATAGTACATGACGACTTGGAGACGCCCATTTTACGGCTATTTTAGGTCTGGGCGCTTTTAAGTCGTCTTTAAGGCGTCATATGCTATTTGGGTATATACAATGTTAAAAATTATTCTTATTATTTTCATAATATCATACCACCTTTACGTTTATCAGTTATTAACGAACTCCAATGTGGTTACACAGTTGGCTAAGAACAGACCTGGGCACTTTTCAAATGATATTATTGGAAATATTATTTTAAATAACATGTTATTTTATTTCATTATTATTTCCATGTCTGTGATCACGTCTGAAGTAACATCATTCGGAATATTATTTCGAATAACATGTTATTTTATTTCAGAATTATTTCCATGCCTGTGATCACGCCTGAAGTAACATCGTTTGGAATATTATTTCATATTGTTTTATTTTCTAATCATTTGAAATAATTCTCAGGCATAATTCTGAAATTGTTCTTCGAAATTGTATCAGGTGACTAGGTCTGAGTTTAGTTTATTGACATTGTTATGAAGAGTAACACCCCACTTCCATCTTCCACAACCTGTGGAACGACTATTTTCTTTCGAGAATATATTAGATGGACCCAAACAAAAATCTCTCACAGATAAGCTTTTTGAAAAACCTGTGAAGATTTCTTAAAATAAAATCTTTTTGTTGCATATTATTTTCAGTATTATTCCGTTTGCCAAATTTGAAATACAAAAATAACAAAATAGTTCGTTAATTGGAATTGTTATTTCAAGCGAATCAATAATATTTTCATTTTCAAATAACAGTATTAAAAATAAAACTCCGAAATAAATTATTTCAAATAGTTATTTCTCATTTTCGTTTCAAATAAAATTCGCCCAGGTCTGGCTATGAACTAACAAATTTATATATATATTAAAAAATTTATATGAACTATAAAATTTATTAATAAAAAATTTCCTCTCGATGCGAACCTCCTCAGATTACAGGTACGTTTAAGTTTCTTCTGCTACCGTTTC